GTGAAGATGGGCAGAAATCTTATATTTGAGGTGTTGGTTTTCATACTTAATACATTCAGTTAAAATACGTTTTACTGTGGTGATAGGTTCCACATGATTCATATAGTGGTTCTTCTTTTCCTCCCATTCATGAGAAAATCGGGTTGTCCTATTCTCAGTCGGTTTATTATCACATTATCTTTACTTATAGGTAAGTAGCTAGGCCATTTATCTGTTCCTCTTTTTATTTCTTTTATGTGGCCAAATCTTCTGTTTTAAAGTTTTAGTATAATTAATAGTATTTGAAGAGTCGCTTATAATGCTATTGCCTGCGTTGCAAATTTACAGATATCTGACAGCTTGTACATTTTCTTATCATTTGACATAATGACTGCTATTCCAACTCCTTCTCAATTTTCAGAAGCATCAGTATATACTTGTATGTGGTCCTAGTNCATCAGTATATACTTATATGTGGTCATAGTAGTTATCTATTAAACTTTGACTTCAGGAAGTGTTTGGTTTTCTAATTCTGTATTAATTTTACATTCACTATACCAAAGTGCGTTAGAGTTATATTTTTTATTAACTATGTTAGTTAATTAAATAGAGTAACTGTTCATAACTTTCTTTTGTTCGTTACTTCCATGCTATTGTTTTTGACTGTTCTTGCTAAATATTATTATTTATTTGCTAAATACCATTGTTAAGTTCTCCAGCTATAATGTAAATACTGTAGATGGATTACTTTTGAAGGCGCCTATAGCTAAATATCAGTACAATATTATTAGTGTTATTAGAAGTTATAAGTGTTGATTGGGTAGCTGTTATGCATAACATAGTTATGTTTTGATTTATTAAGTGATTTATGTATTTTTATAAGCGTATTTTCACCTCCTCCTCGGGATGTATGTGAGAGTGTTTTTATAGTGTTAACAGTTTGCATTGTCTTTTTTTTAAGATATTTGATTTAAGTTTTTTGTCTAATATGGCCCTCGGTATCTTGATCAAATTGTCTTATTTAATCATATGACTATCTAATTTTATTTTAAATTGTTCAATTTTTCATTATTTTATAAACATAATGCATTTTGTTTTGTCATGGGCAAATTTAAAACCTGATTGTGACGCCCGAAATGTAAGTTTGTTTATAGTATTTCGATGTTGTTCTTGGATTGTACTTTTGCTTTGACACCAAAAAATAAAGTCATCCACGAATTAAATGAATTTATTTGGTGAAGTTGATTAACTTATATTGAATTCTATTGCTCATTTACATTTTTTGATTAAATAGTTTATTTTTGTACTACAGACATTTTTGTAAAATATTTTTATAAATTAATAGCAGTTAACACATTGTCTCCCAGAGTGCTCTCTTTTCTGTCCAATGCACGATGAGAGCCGTGTGTACAACATAGACAAATTCTTATCTGTATATTATGGTAAAAATAATATTCAAACTATAATATAGTTACGCAATAAATTTAGTTGTACGCTTATCATTCAAACTAGTAATATTTTTAAATTAACGAGGTGTTTTGATTCTTTTTATATAGAGCTAACAAATTATTAATCAAAAAATTCTGATATCAGGTAAATTCATTTTAGGGTTATAATCTCTCACATTTCAACCACACAATTGTTTATTATAATGAATAATGCTAATAATAAAAACCATAATGTTGTCGTTTAAATTTTTTTTTGTTGTTAAAAAAAGATATAAACTATACAAATATAAAACAATTACTTATGATAAAAATAATATTATTGCATATAAATAACTTTGAAAAAACAATAACTTGTGGAAACTCTGTCTTGTGGCGGGACTCCAACTAACTTAAATAATTTAGTAATTTAAAGAGCTATTATAACATAATTAATTTTATAATTGATGTAGATCTCTACTTCAAGATCTTTTTAGGTGACGTGGAGGTTTATTTGAAATTTTTTGTGAGGACAGCGTTTTAATAAGAGGTTTTGGTTGATTTTAAAATCGGTTGTGTAATTTTTTGTATTTGAAGATGGCAGTTTGTTTTACGGTAAGGTGTTAAGATCATTATGCATTGATTAATTTGATATGTAAGGAGGGGCGTTGAGTATACGGCGAAAATACTTTGATTGGAGAACTTGAATTATGTTAATGTTCGACATTTTTGCTGCAACCTATAGCTCAATATCGTACAACTACATAGTTTAAAAAGGCGTTTATATATTATGACTTTGTGTGCAAGTCAATTTTGACATTTCTATGGTGTAATGGCTATAGTGTACTAAGACGCTAAGACGGTTCACAGTTATTAATTTTGGAATGGATGTTGTGCGACCAGATAAGCTTATTGTCAAAGTTAATACCAAGATATTTAACTTTAATTGAAGTGAGAATAGGATTATTATTAATAAAAACTTGTGGGAGATTGATAGCACGGAGAGTAAAAGTAATATGACAGAATTTATTTTCATTTAACATAACGTGCCATTTTTGGTACAAGTCATGTGGTGTAGGTGTAATATAAGTGGGACAGGAACGGTTGTTTGATATAGTTTATGTACTAATATTTTCGTCTAATAGATAAAAAACAAAATGTATGAAAACAAATTTGATTTTTCTTAAATTAATTTAGTACTTTAATTTGTGTAATAAGTTATTTGAATAAAAAAGAAACAATTGAAAATTCGAAAAATTCTAGTTCTTTTGCCAATAATCTTACATTTATATATAATAGTCTAATTTAACGTATTTATTTTACAGTTATTAAAGATTTTATACGCGAAATGCATATCAATATATTTTTTGTGAAAAACAAACATTTATTGGTTTGAGTCTTTTGATGTAAACAAGAATTAATTTATTGTTAGCTAATAAAATGATTATTTAAGAAAGGTTTATAAATTGAATACTTCTTTTTTAGACAAATACTCAGAATTAGATATTGTTGCTAACGCACACATACTATTTGTCGCCGGATTCGAGACTGTGTCTACATCAATGAGCTTTTGTTTATATGAACTTGCTTTAAGAAAAGACATTCAAGACAAAGTAAGAAATGAAATCCTCAAAGTTAAATCTGAAAATAATAACGGTGAATTAAATAGTGATTGTTTAGGAAAACTTCATTATTTACATATGGTTATTAAAGGTGAGAAGTTAATGTTTAGCAAAATTATTATAAGTAAGATGTATTATATAATAATAGTTAATTACAATTTTTAATTATTCTATTCATGTATAGATTTTCATAGATTTTATAAATAAGAAATATGTAACAACTTACTAATTATTAGCTTCGATACAAGAAACTTAGTTTTACTATGTGTTTATTTTTTGTCTGTTACCACTTATTTTCAGCTCTCATCGTACCAATTTATTTCAACGATATGTCAAAATATTGCTAATCGTATCTAGTTGAAGACATTGACTTTAGAAATTGAAAAACTTCCCTCGTTCCCTGTAAATGAGGGAAATATTCAAAAAACCACTAATTCTTAAAATTGTATAGCTTTTTTTTGTGTTTAGAAACTTTGAGGAAATACCCTCCACTTGCAGTATTGAATAGACAAGTAACACAAGCATACACGTTGCCTGGAACAAGTATAACTTTAACACCGGGAACAAAAATTATTATCCCTGTAAGATCTATTCATTATAATCCAAAGTATTATCCAAATCCAACAGAATTTGATCCCGAACGTTTTTCTGATGAAAACATTGATAAAGTTCATCCTAACATTTACATGCCTTTCGGAAGTGGACCACGATTATGCATTGGTAAACATATTGAACAGTAAAATATAAGTATTAGACATTATTAATACACATAATATATTGGACATTTCAATATGTTATAATATATTACAGCGGCGGTTTCGACGGGGAAGCAAAAGAGGCACTGTCTCTCTTTGAAACGAGTAGAATATATAATATAATATAACATATTATACATTAATTTAATGATATAATATCCTAAGCATGATAACTAAACATTCTTTAAATAATTATTTAAATAACTGTACGTATAAGTAAAAAATGTGGTTTAAAATTAAGGAAGACTTTTTTATGCGGTGGAAAAGCTCAAGTTAGACTCCTCCTAGGATGACCACATATATCTAAAATTGATATAAAGACGACTAAAATCATATTTTTGAATTTTAGAAAATTTATATTTTTTTAATGCGGATTTATTCTATACATTCTAATTTAAACTACTAACTATATTTTATTTTTGAAGATTAATTTATTTTCATGTAAAAAATACGAGTAAAACAAATAAAATTAAAAATTGTTTAAAAACATGCTGTCACTTTTATTTATCATCACATCATATAAATTTCCCATTGCGATAAAAATATTACAAAAATTGAATCTTTCCTGTACTAAACAAGCACTATAATATAATACCATTATATTATATAATACTAATAGATAGTATTTATGGTTTTCCATTTATTAATAGGACCCTATGTAATAATTAAATCATGCACTTAATAAATATTTGCCTATCAAAGTTATAAATATATACATATAGGTATATTTGAAGTATTTATTCATTGAGTTACACGTTTAAAACTATACCATTAAATAGAAGATTGTCTACTAAAAAGATTCTGTTAAAATTATCTGTTATTCTTTACGTAATTGTCGACCTAAGTTATAGTTAATTCAATACTATTCAATACTTTGGGTAAGTGGGAGCGATTAAGGGCGATTGTTTTCCTTATGTACGTGTTAGCTATAAAATTTCAAACATCCATTATAAAACTCTACATACCTACCTTAGTGGTTAATACCAACGTTCAATTTCTTCAAGATTATACATCTACGGATATAGGTATTCATTTATACATTAAATGAAGAATACAAGATAAAAACTGTAAAAGCCAGTTTTAGGCGATTTTGATTTTATGGTGTTGTGAACTTTTATTATTTTGTGAATATTTGAAATTTATGATAATATTTTTCAAATGTTTTTCAGAATAATTTTATTTAATCTATTTATAAGTTTTTTTTTATTTAATTTTAAATTTATTTTTGAGGCAAGAAGTAAATGTGGCTAACTCTCTGATCTCTTTATGCACATTCCTGTTTAAGTTTTTGCCACCTCGAAAACTTTACCTTAGAAACGCACGCCACTAATTGAAATAAAATATTTAATATTATATGTGTTTAAAAAGCACGAATAAATATACTTTTGATATAGATAAAAACTATTATATATTATGATGTTTATTTATATGTAGCTAAAAGGTTTGCTGAGATGGAAATGAAATTAGCATTATCAGAAGTATTAATCAACTATGAAGTTTTACCATGCAAAAAAACACAAATACCCATTAAATATATTATTGGAAGTTTTGTAAGTGCTCCTGAAAGTATTTGGCTCAAGTTTAGATCAAAAAATATTTAAACAAAGTTTTATCAGTAAAAAATTAGTCTTAAAAAAACTCACTTAGATGAATTATGTTTTTTAAATTTATACAAAACTTTTTATTATTGAAAAAAATATGTATATATAATAAATAACTACATTTATTTTATAAATTAATAGATTAATTATAAAAACGTGTAAGACTAAGTTTATTAAAAAAGATATAAGCTTCGATTTGATGCTGAGAAAATATTGTTTTTATTATGTGTTTTTTTTTTTTTGCTTGCCATTTCACAATATTTTTACCTAATTAATTATTGAAATTCAACAAATTTTATTTAGTTAAAGACATTAATCTCAAAATTAAAATATTTCTTAAAAAATTACAATTTTTAAAATTAGTATATTTGGATGTTTCTGTTACAATTTTTATTGTTATAAAATGTTGAAAAATTGTAATAATGAATTTCAATAACTGGTGGATAACGACTGTTGAATTAGTAGTTTAAAAAATATTAACATTTTTATAACAAGGTGGGAGGAGTGTGCAGTTCATCAATGTCGAGAGACAAGAATAAACAGACCTCCATTCAATATATTAAATAATTTTATTAATTTTCAAAATACTGTTCTAAAAATTGTCATCAACAAGATATTTTCTTAGATAAATTATTTTACACTATTTTATATTTTTTTAGGTAAAAGTTTTTAAAAATAAATATTCTATTGTTGCAACAGTACACTAACATGTTGGTGCACAAAGAAGAGACTCCTTCTAAATATTAATTATTTATTATTTTTAAATTATAATTAGCTTATGAAAGTGAGATTTTTTTTATTAATGATTAGAATATTAGTGGTGGTTTCAATTAAAAATTTTAAACTGAACTTGTCTCTAATATTAAAAAATTTGCTAAGCATGTATTATTAAACTAACGGCCCAGGGGCATAAAAATTATTTTAGCTTTAAAAAAATTGAATTGCTTAATTTAAGAAGTATTCATCAAAATAAAATAGATCAATTATAAATTGCTTAAACTAACCAAAATTTTATAATATTAACGGTAGCCCAAGTGAAAATGGATTCCTTGCCTCGGTGACTAATACACTCCTGGTTACGGATATTTTGTTTTATTTTTTCATACAGCTATGTTTGAAAAAGAAATCATTTTTACATTAAAGACTAGCAATTAGGTAAAATTAAGTTGCCGATTTAAATAAATTATAGATACACTGGCACAAATTATTAAATCATGTTGATAGTTCTTAATATATGTAATTACTTTTATTATTATTTATTTGTCAGTAGTGAAAATATTTTGATTAGAAAATATTTTATTTATAAAGAGCTGCATATATAATGTTGACTTGTTTTACATTTATTATTCTGTTTTATAAGTTTTGAAACTTTTTACAAACTACAGGATGTATTGGAAGTTTTCGTGGCTTCCTCGACATTATTTCAAGGGAAATGCAAATACCCCTTTCCGATTTGCCGACGAAGTATCTCTGATTGTATATGTCCGTAAGATATTTACGGCCCTTGGCAAACTGAAGTCGCTAATCAAGGTATTATTTATTAAGGAATACGGGCTAGTTAAATCTCCTTTGCATTATCTTGTAATTTTTTGCTAAAATGTATGAAATGACTATAAAATGACATGATTCAATTATTATGCGTGATCCAATTGAACCATAGTATTTATATAGAAGATATGAAGTAAAGCGGTCTACATTAAAAAATTCAACAAGAAACTAATTATCTTAACGTTTAACTTAATATTAAACTTTTCCTATGTTATAGTATTTCATGAATCTATACAGTTTCCTCTTCAGACTATAATTCATTTTTTTAACTTATTATTTGAGACTATTATAGACTTAAATAGTATAATACTTGTATTGTCATAAATACAGCATAAATGTGTAATGGTACAAATGAAAACACACAAACAAAGAATCTTGCCAGAGATATTTTTACAATTTTGTTTCGTTTATAATTTATATGATAACACTCATCAGAATTATTTTTCCGTTCTTGTGCAGGTTGATAGTAGACCCGTGTAAAATTTTATGTATTATTATATAATATATTAAATAGTATTTTAATATTATAACTAATATTATTATTTTTCAATTAAAACAAATAACAAAAACAGATGTAAAAATTATAAATTAAAAGTTTTGAAATGAAACTGTTGAAATGATAAATTAATAAAATTATAAATTACATTTAAAATTTAATTTAAAAATTTGAAAAAGTAAAGGTTAAGTTAAATAAATTTAAATTATATATAGTAATTTAATATTAATGATTTTTGAATTATTATAATAACTTGAAGTAAAATTAATACAGTTATTAAATTTACAAATATTTGTTACAATATTTTTTGTAAGGTGAATACAATGTTTCAAAAGTTAAATTATAATAAATGAACGGTTTATGATAATGCTTATTTTAAATATACAAATTTTAATTTAACATTATACGTATTTATTTTTGTTATTTCGGTTAGTTTATTACAAAAAAAAAAAACAATTTTATACAAGAATAATTATTTAAGAAATTATTTTATAATCTTTTACTACGTATATGTATGTATAGATTAATTATAATTATCATATTGATAAAGTTGACAATTTTTAGTATTGACACTATAATATGTTTACAATCTAGGGTGTACACTTATGTTAATCTAAATAAACCGTTAAAATATCAATTTACCAAATATAATTTATAACAAAATCTTATAATAATATCACAACTATTATAATTTATGAGCTAAATTGGCTAGTTTCGCATAATTGACATTACATTAACTTGAATAATACAAACAAATTTAATAAACTTATAATCAAATAAAATTATATTTATTTTATAGCCTATGTCGTTATACAAGTACAGGTAAATATAAATTTATAAATTATAATTTATATAGTGATAAAATACAAAATTTAAATTAAAAATTATACAAGTAATGTTAAATCAAATATGCCCTTTACAATTTAACTATTGATTATATATATAAAAAAAATAATAAAATAAAAATGAAATCAAAGAATTATACAATGTTTACATATATAGAATTTTATAAACTAATAATTTTATAACTAATAATCTATAAAAAATTGTATACTTTTTTTTTAATCAATTTTTACATTATAGATGTATTATTAAAATGTGTTGTATGTTATTTTTCGCCATTACAAAAATAATTAATGAAATCGATTTTTTACTAAACATTTTTTTTATATTAAATATATACTTTAAATTTTAAAGTAGCCATTTTATAGATAACTTATAAAGAAAAATTTTATTACCAAAAACTTTTATTTTAATTTAGTATTTCTATAACATTTTGAAATTTGTTAAATTTTGATTTTTTTTACGATTTTTCTATGGTATCAGATGAATTAGTCCACGTATGTAAAGTACGAAAGTAATCATTATCTTTTTACGTTATTTATTGGCGATAGCTTACAATTTATTTTCCAGTAAAAATAATATAGATAATGCTGAGCCTAAACTAGCACCTTATAGAAGAGCACTATAAACTGTTAAAAATAGGTTTATAATTAAGTTAAAAGAATTATTAGGAAAAGGTATTGTGTATTATGTTGATTAGCCAACTAAATGGCTCAGCAGAATAGTAATTAACGAATAATCTGACAAAAGTTCAAGATTTTGTCTAGATCTTCAACATTTGAATAAAATATTGTAATAGAAAATTTTCCCGTTTTGTCATTTAATAAAATTACTTCTAGATTATTAAACAAAAAATTATATATTGTTCTTGATCATACCAATTGATTCTGGCAAATAGAGCTTACTCACGCGGTAACTTATATTCATTTCCAAAGGTTATTAGATAAAAATTAGATATAAATTCAATAAATTACCATTTGGTATTAAAATCGCGCGAATAGTTTTTCATAAATGTAACATGAAATATTTTGATGATATTCAATGTCTTCCAATTTACTTTGATGATTTTATTATAGCAGTAGTAAATGATAAAGATGAACGCGATAAAATTTTCAGCAAATGAAAATTAAGCATATAAAATAGATATCAAACAATATATATATATATATATATATATATATATATAAAAATCCTGATGTTAATTTTTTTGTATCAATCAACCAATATTAAGTAAAAGAGATTTATTTTCTATCATTATAAACTGTTAAATAATTATTGGCCATTTTGAAAAAAAATTTTTCTATCTTTATAAATAATTTTACAAACACCTAAGAAGTACGTTAACAAATTCGTTTGTGTTTGACGCCTTCGTTTGTTATGGTCATTACTATTGCATAGTATGCATAAGTGACAAACGATAACATTATTTGTGAAAAACCCTACAAGTCCTATTTAGCAATAACTAAATAAAAAACGGTAGCACAGTGGGGTCGAGGCACAGTGTGGACGAGGCATAGATGGGACAAGTATAGATGATATCTGACAGTGATTAAAATCACTATCATAAGAAACGCTTCGATGCAAATCTGTAGATAGTGTTTCCTTTAGAGAAATTGGTGAAATATTTTAAAAGCAACATGAACTCTTATTTCTTTAATTATATCCTGATTAGTAGTTCTTTGATTTTAAAATATAATATATGAATAAATACTAATTATAGTTTTTAAATTTAGTATGAAATTGTGAGGCCAGCTATGATGTATGGTTCATAGTGTTGGGCGGTTGATAAGAAAGTAGAGCAGAGAATAAGTGTAGCAGAGATGAGAATGCTTAGTTGGATGAGTGGAGTGACTAGAGAAGATAGGATAAGGAACGAGCATATAAGAGGAAGTATAGGTGTTGCGTCAATCGTGGATAAGATGACAGAAAATAGACTTAGATTGTTTAGTCATGGTATGAGGAAAGAAGAATCGAAAGCTGTAAGAACAGTTATAGAAATGAATGTTGAAGGAAGAAGAGATAGAGGAAGACCAAAAAAGAGATGGAGGGATGCTATTGAATGCGATTTGAGGACAGCTGATGTGAGCGTAGAAGATGTGGGAGATCGTGTCAAGTGGAAGCTTAGGATAAGGGTGGCCGACCCCAAGTAGTTGGGATTAAGGCAAAGAAAAAGAAAAATATTACCAGATATTCCGGTGGCAATTGACATAATATGATTGTTATTTCGGAATGTACAATTTAGCGTTTAGTTGGGTTTAAATAATATAGCGTC